GTTTGTCAGAAACTATAAAGCTCTGTTCCTGAACACCACAGGGCAAGAATGCATGGAAAGGCAATATGGCATAGTAGAGTTGAAGTGGGAAAATCTGGAAAGACCTGGATTCAAATCCTAGCCCTGACACTTGCTATAGGACCCTGAACAAGTTGTTTAACTTCTGTGTGAGCCTCAATGGGGGTCCCTATCTAGCATCTACCTTATATTGGATGTTGTGAGGATCAAATGAAATCATGCAGGTAAGGGGTAAAGCGCTTGATGCATTTTAAAGCTCCAGAAGAATAAAAGCTTTTATTAAGCACCCTAACATGGAGAAGAAACACACACACACACACAACACAAATACATAGACACCATGCTACATATGTGCTAGGATACCCCATCTAAAACAAAGGTTGCAACTCAGTTCCTTCCTCAAGTCTCTCCCCTCTCAAATCCAACCTCTACCTATACAGCTACCAAAGTGACTTTTCAAAAGCAGTCTTCAACTTGTATGGTCTGATGCTGAGTAAAGTGAACAGAACCAGGAGAATATTGTACACAATAACAGCCACGTTGTGCGATGATTAATATTGCTAAACTTAACCCTTCTCTGCCATACAAGTATCTAAGACATCTCCAAAGCCTTGTGATGGAAAATACTATCCATATTCAAAGAAAGAACTATTGCATTTCAATGCAGATCAAAGCATACTATTTGCTATTTTTTTCTTCTGTTATGTTTTGTTTCGTCTCTCTGGTGGTCCCTCCTATTGGTTCTAATTCTTACTTACAACATCACTAATGTGAAACTATGCACAATAGGAATGTGTATGTGTAACCTATATCAGATTGTGCACCGTCTTGGGAAGGGAGGTGGGAAGGGAGGAGGAGAAAAATTTTAAACTTAAAAGCTTATGGAAGTGATTGTTGATAATTCAAAATAAAATTAATTTTAAAAAATCAATCTTCAGACCATGCCACTACCTACTCAGTTGACTCCAGTACCTCCCATTGCTTCAAAACACCAAATACAAACACTTTTTATTGGCATCTGAAGCCCTTAATATCCTGGCCCCCTGACCTTTCCAGTCTCATTATACACTAATCATCATACACAGTAGGCATTAAATAAATGCTTGTTAGTGGATTGGTTAATATCTTAGGAAATGTAAAAGATGCATTTGGTCTTTTGGAAGGAAAGCAGAAAAGCAGAGAAGAAGGCAGGAAGGAAGGCAGGCAAGAAGAAAAGGAAGAAAGGAAGGAAGGAAGAAGGAAGGAAGGAAGGAAGGAAGGAAGGAAGGAAGGAAGGAAGGAAGGAAGGAAGGAAGGAAGGAAGGAAGGAAGGAAGGAAGGAAGGAAAGAAGGAAGGAAGGAAGGAAGGAAGGAAGGAAGGAAAGAAGGAAGGAAGGAAGGAAAAGGAAGGAAGAGAGGGAGGAAGAGAGGGAGGAAGGGAAGGAAATAGGGAAGAACGTGCCAGGAACTGAGCTAAGTGCTTTTACAAGCATTATCTCATTTTATTCTGACATGTAATGCTTCTGCCCTCCACACAAGGACAGTGCAGGATAGTGGGAAAATTCCTAGCAAAGTTGCCTACTACTTGTGTGACCTTGTGCAATTCACAACCTTTGCACCTCAGCTCCTCATCTGAAAAATAAGAAAATTTGGACTAGATGATTTCTAAGATCCCTTCAACTTCTAAATTTTCTCATCTTGTGTGGGAAGCCAGCTTCAATAAATAAAGTCACTCATGCATTAAGCAAATAGCCCTGTGCTAGATGCTATAGGGACACTAAGAAAATGAGGACCTTATATCTACCTTCAAGAAGCTTAAGAGGTTGTCATGGGAAAATAGAATGTACATGTGTAGACAACGATTTAAGCATGCATTTACAAAGTAACATAGCAACAAGTCCTAACTAATATAATACAAACCACTATCAGTGCTGAGGACTATTAAGCAAAAGACTAAACACACCTTGAGTTTGCCATGATTTGCCCACAGGTCATCACTGTCAATAATGTTATCTTCAAAATGGCACACGTATTGTGACTAGAAATAGCGGTTTTAATTAGGATTGAATAATACTTCCCAGGGCTCCAATTCTAATTCAAAATCCATGAACATGTGACCGACTGTCCTCTCTAGCTGCCACTTCTTGGCCTCCACCCTACTTCAGATTGGGAAACATCTCCTTTGAAAAGAATGGAAGTGTCCCTGATCCCCTTTCCTCCAACATGTGCAGGCTGCACATTTGCATGGTAATGTCTCATGCCATTAGTGAGTGAGCTGAATAATTAGGCTATGAAAATCTAACGGCAGGGATTTTTGTTTTATTAGCAATTTTCCATCCTATTGTGTTAATTTCATCTCGTGTCAGCCAGCTTTCTGAGTAAACAATGATCACAGGCAGACATCATTTCCCGGCACATTGTGCTGCTGTGGGTGACTTCACAGACCAGAAAATGGCTTAAGTTGTCTTTTGTTTTACATTCTCTGCCTTATGTTGATGCCACAATGCCTCCAGTCCCCAGTTTCTTATGTTCCTGGAATATTCATTTCCTCTTTGTCTGTTTCTCTTGGTCCATGTGCATGTATGACTCTGACTGCCTCTCCTCATGTCCTTTTGCCTCTTCTTATTCCTCTCTTCCCTCTCCATATTTCAGTCTTTTTGCTCTCTCTTCTTCTGCTTGTCTGACTCTCTTTAATACTATTAATAATAGTAGCTAACATTTGTATTGTGCTTCTGGTGTTCAAAGCATTTTCATACCCATTAGTTCACTTTGTCTTTCTCTCCCTCTTTTCCTCATTCACTTTGATTTCCTTCCCCTTCCTTCCCAGCTTGCCTTGTATTTTATTTTTACATCCACTTCCACCCTATTTCATTGTGCTACCTCCTCCTCCTTCCTCCTTCCTCCCCCAGCCCATCCTTTCTACCTGTTTGAGCGCTATCTCTCAGTCTCTTGCTCATTCACTCAGGCTTTCCTTCTGCTCTCTGAGATTTCTGGCTGACAGATGATTAATATTTGGCCCTGCCATGTTGGAGAGTGGGATGCATTTTTTCTTCTTTATCCCCACAAACATCAAACACCTGCAAGTTCCTCCAGGAGCCATGAAAAAAGTTCTGCTGTTTAGTGAATTATAGCAGCACTTCTGAGACCATAGGAGAGATAGTTGAAGAAGAGCATTCACCGCATGAACTTCAGACCCTCACACAGAAATTGACCCTAAGTGACTCATGCGTGGTCTTAAAGCCCCTTCTCTAGCCTCCGCACCCACAGGAAACAATGAAGCTAGATTTCTCCAAAGGACAGCACTTACTGACTATGCTTAGCTATCCAGGTCAGAGAACTGGGACAGTGAGGTAACGTCTTCTGAGGAGGACATGGCCAAATGCCAACACCACAAGCACACGTTCCCTGCATCCACAAAAGTCCTATCCTCTGGCAGGTTTCCATTTTATACTACAAGCAGTTTGTGCTTCTCAGCAGGGTAGATAACTCTGAATTTTATGAGGCACTTCTGAAAATAATGAGATGACCCCAACCTCACTCAAACATTGTTTTTTTGATTTCTGACCTCTAGCCTCATTCCCTTCACCATGCCTCTATAATACTCATCCCCAATTTAAACACATTTTCCCCATTCCAATGCTATTTGACCATTTTAAGAACAGTCACTTTAACATGGCCAAAAAATTTTACACTGTAAATAGTCCAAGTGTTGGCATGTCTGGTCAACAGGGCTTCCAATAAGAAAGAAATACAGGATAATAGAATTATAATATTAAGATCATTCCATTCAAACTCTTCATTTTGAAGGTGAGAAAACTGAAGCCCCAGAAGGTCAAGTGATTTGGCCAGGGATACACAGTTGATAAATAGCAGAACAGAGATTCAAATTCAGACCCTCTGGTACTAAATTCAGTATTATTTCCACTGCACTATAGTGATAAAAAGTTCAAACTCAGATCACCCCACTCAAAGTAAGCAAGTGGATATTTAATGAGTACCTACTATGTACCTGGCATGGTTCTAAGAGTTTAACACACAGTATCTGACAATTAGGAGTTAACTGAGTAGTCACATGAAATGGTTGTAGAACAATGCAGCATATTCTCATAGGCTAGATTTGTGATGTAGGCTATTATCAGTTCAGAGAAAAGAATAATACAATAACAGAGGTTATAGAGCTGGAAGGTATCCTAGAGGTGGGCTAGACCAATCCCATCACTCAACAGATAAGGAAATGTAGTAGAGTGGAAAAGGCACTGGATCTAGAGTCAGGGGACCAGAATTCAAATCCTAGCTCTTCCACTTACTATCAATGTGTGTGACCTTGGACAAATCACTTGGCATATTGGACTTCAGTTTCCTCAACTGTAAAAAATGAAGAGGTTGAGCTAAGTGACCTTGAAGCACTAAACATATGACCCCCTCAAGTCCATGGAGGGGAAAAGCCTTTCCAAGATCACACAGAGGTTATTCAGAGCTGGAACCCAGGCTTCCTGATTCCCAAATCTAATTTTCTTCCCATTGCACCATGATGTGGGATGGAATATAGGAAAGAACTCATGAAGGAGGGGAAACTGAACCAAGCTCTGAAAGATGTTTAGGGTTTAGAAAATCAAAAGGAGAAGGATTCTTCAGGTAAGGGAACCAGCTTGATCAAAAGGCTGAGGGTGGGATAAATATGGCATGTGGCAAAGTAGAAAGGTAAGATACTAGCCTTGTGGGAATAGAACATTCACATTGGAGAGTGATGAGAAGAAAAGGCTGACGCCACATACGCACCAAAATTTTCCATGTGGCACCCCCGTAAAGTCCTGCTGGGCACTTCTGTCATCCTGTTGCACTGGAACAAAGGGTTTCTCTAAGCCTCTAGAATGGTGTAGCTAACCCCTACATCACCATCCCCAGCCACCACTTTTCTCTCAAACCCCTCACCACCTGGCCATGGGAATAGCCTGCCTCCAGTCAAGAGGCCTCCCACTAGCTGCTGCACCAGCAAAAATTACCTGCCGCAGAGGGCTGCACACAACCGGCTTTCAACACATCATCAGCATTCAGCACCATGGCCAGTGCCTGAGGCAGCAGAAGGGAGAATTCACCAGCAACCCTGAAAAAGCAAAGAAAAAAAAAAAGAAAATAATTCTCACGTTGGCTAGCCACAGCAGGGCTCTCTGATCGTTTTTCCGGTGTCCCTTTTTTCCCCAATACCCCAGCCAATGTCCCCAGGCTGTCAGAGAAATGATCATAAATTTCCAGTTTCTTCACTGGTTTACTAGCAGGGAAGGAAAGGAAACCTAGCCAAACCTCAATACTATACTGAGCTAGCATTATTATCTTACTTAATTCAATTCAACAAACATATCGCAAGAGCCTAATATGTGTACTAGAGATATAATAATGAAAAACCACACTGTCTCTGCCCGAAAGGGACAGAGGGGCATATTCCCCATAGTCAGGGAATATGAAGCCCAAAGTAGATATTGTGAACTCTTTCATCCCCACAGCCATTTTGAGGAAGGGATTCTAGGATCCATAATTTTCAGAGGTACATAGTGAGGCACCAAAAAAAGCAAAGCAATATTACACAGCCCATAAGGCAAGTCAGTGGCCAGAATAAAGCATAGAACATTTCAGTCTTGGCCCCAACCTTTTCAGGAAAGCCTGAAAGGTAGATCTATGCACCCAAGGGAAACCTTAGTTCACCATTCCCTAACCTTCTCTATCCCAGGAAAGTGAGAAGATTGCTCCAAACTTGGGATAGCCTCATCCATTAGCCCTGCAGATCCTGGTGCACCCTAGGCTCTTGCCTGATTCAAGCTTTCACCCCTGGGATGAGTTTGAAAGCAGCCCAACTTTGTCAGAAGGAGCCTTCATTGCAGCAAACTTAGTCCTCTGATGGTTCATGGGCCATCAAACCCTCATCTCATTTCACATTACTCACGGCTGCTAAGGACCACCTTCTCACTTTCCCCAGATTCTCTTGGCTATGTTTCTGGCCTAAGGAGTCTTTTTTTTTTTCAGCTAAAGACAAGGTTTATTAGAACATCAGTCGGGGGTGGGTGAGATTTAAAGAATCTGCCATATTGGCCAGACTCTTAAGGAGTCTAAGCATTTGCATCGTTAACGCAAGAGGGCCAGATTTTAAAAAATCTGAGCACCTTAATGGAGGCCAGCTGGACCTCATATACAGAAAGACTGTGGGAGGGATCTAGGAGTGGCCAAGTAGTCTAGGGTGGTTGTGAGATAACAGAATGTTAGGGACCTGTACCACATGGCTAAGGGAGAATGGAGCCTAGATAGGATTAAGGGTGGGAAGTGGCTGGGCCTGGACTATTGCAATAGTCTTCTGGTTGGTCTCCCTGCCCCATCTCTCTCCACTCCAGACCATTATCCATTTAATCATCAAGTTAATCTTGTCTGACCACAACACTCTTCTATTCAATAAACTCCAGTGGTTCCCTCTCATTTCCAGGGAGGCTCTCCATAACCACAAGGATCAAATATAAAATCCCATGGTTTTCAAAGCCCTTCATAATCTGGCCACTTCCTACTTTTTAGGTCTTCTTAAACCTTACCCCAGATGTACTCTGAGATCCAGTGACATTGACATCGCTGTTCCTTGAACAAGACACTCTGTCTCCCAACTCTGTGCATTTTCAATGAACTATTTCCAATAGACACCTCAAAGTCAATATGTCCAAAACAGAATTATCATTCACCAAAAACATATCCCTTTTCAAAATTTCCTTATTCTTATCAAGAGTAACATCCTTCCAGTCACCTGGGTCCGAATCTTGAGGTCATCCTCAACTCCTCACTCTCACTCACTTCACATAATCCAATCAGTTGCTGCATGTGACTTTTTTTTCCTCTGGAACATCTTTCATTTCTACACTAACACAGCCATCACCTTAGATAGAATATCATTACCTCTTGCCTAGACTATTGCAACACCTTCCTAACTGGTCTTCTACCTCAAGTCTTTCCCCATTCCATAACAACCTCTATACAATGGCCAAAGTGATTTTCCTAAGTGCAAATCTGACTATGTCACCTATCTATTCAAATAATTGCACCCAAGATCAAGCATAAACTACTTTGTTCAACATTTAAAGCTCTTCATAATCTTTCCTTGCCCCTTCCAATCTTTTCTTTATTCCCCCCCTCAAACTAAATAGTCCAGCCATATTGACATACTTGCTGTTCACAAACACTGTTTTACCTCCTGTCTCTATACCTTTTGCACTGGCTGTCCCATACACCTGGAATGCTCTCCTTCTTCATCTCCACTTCTTAGTCCCTGACTTCCTACAGGACTGAATTCAAATACCAGCTTTTGAAGGAGCTCTTTCCCGGTCCACCCTCCCCAAGATGCTAGTGCTTCACTTCTAAGGTTGCCTTCCATTTACTTGGTATATAGCCCATATGTGCATATTTATGCATGTGTTGCCTCCCCAATTTAAATGTAAATTCCTAAAGAGCAGGGACTGTTTTTCCTCTTGCTTTATACCCCCAGCACTTAGAGCAGTATCTGGTACTTACTATGGCATGCTTATTGATTGTTTGAAGAAATTAACCATTTCTTACCACACTGGTCACAGTAGTTGGTGGAGAGGAAAAAGCACTATAACTGAAGTCAGGAAGACTAGAGCTCAAATCCAGAAGCTTACACTTAGAAAGGATGGTATCACAAGGCCCAATCAACCCTAGAATTCTACTAACTACTAAGCATTTCATTTGGCCTTTTTACCAAGATTCTACAGAATTTATAGTTTTATCTAGGGGCTGCTAGGTGGCACAGTAGATAGAGCACCAGCCCTGGATTCAGGAGGACCTGAGTTCAAATCTGGCCTCAGACACATAACACTTACTAGCTGTGTGACCCTGAGGCAAGTCACTTAACTCCATTGCCCAACCAAAAATAAAACAAACAAAAAATAGTTTTATCTATAAAGAAACATGGATTTGGCAATAGCACATTTTGGCAGATGGAACTCACAAACAGATTTCTCCTTTTAAATAGAGTGTTTATATTTACCAAGCCCACGGGACTAAAATATATTTTGATTACTTTGGGAAAGTCTTAGCTCACAAAGAAATATTCACTCCATCAAATGATTTCTTTGCATGAGGGATTTTAGCCCTAATACAAAAATCCTAACAAGCATATGCCTGTGGCAACTATGCAGAGAGGAGATAGAAGATCATTTCTTTTTCCAGAATCCTGCTAAACCATTCCTGAAACTTGGGGTGAGGAGAGGTTCACTTGGGAGCCCTCAGCCCCAAGGCCACAGTCTGCTGAGAGATCATATCAGCCTTCAAAGACAGCTCAGAATAAGAGCTCCCATGAAAAACAACCAACTTAAAAGGCAACAGGAGGATGGCAGTAGGAGGGAGAATCCAGCCAATCCTTGATCCCAAAGGCAGCTACCCCATAAAGGAAAAGGGGAAGAGGAAGCACAAAGACAGAAACAGAAACAACAACAGAGAGATGAAACAGAGGCTGGAAGCCTCAGCCTTAATGGCTGTGCTTCCCAACAACTGCTGGCAGAACAAAAGAAAATTCCAACTCTGTTCTCATTTTATACAACCTTTTACTCTTTATATCAAAGGTCAAATTTTAAGGCATCATTGAAGAGAAGGGAGAACAAAGAGGTCCTGTCTCCTTATCACTTCATCTCCTTTCTCTATGGATGGTACCCTCTGATATTTTTCCAAAATGAATCACTGAGAAGGTGATGTTGGGGGAGGGAGGAAGGGAAAAGAGAAATAAAGCTGTAGAATGACAAATGGAATTTACCCCCACCTTCTTTGTCATAGTGCTGCATTTCTAGTTGCATTCTACTAGCAGCCATACCTGTCTTCCTTGTTGTTTCTCTGACTCTTTCTTGAGGTTCAAGGTGAACTTGAATTCTTCCCTACTTTATAGTTCCTCTAAACATGTCTATGGTTTTTCATGTTTGGGTGTATACTTTCCCCTTTGATGGAAGATAGAAAAATGTTGCCGTTTTGTTTTCACCAACAACCACGTTTCCAAATCCAGGTTCCACCCTCCAGGAAAGAAAAACCCTTTACTTTGACAGAAGTCTTTTCCCATGGACAATTCCTTCAGCAAATAGAATTCAATAAAATGTTAGTTGTTTCTGACTATAATAGGAATTGTAATCAGCAAACAGGCTGCCAGCATGTTTATATTTCCCTGCATTTGGTCACAGGGGACTCCATGAAAACTGTTGACACCTAAAATCCTCGATCTCAACACCACCCTCATTCTTACTACCATCTTATCTCAGAAGCTACTCAGGGCCCTTGCTTTATGCCTCTTTGGTAATACTTGTGCCCTCCCAGTTTCTTCTTTGAATGCTATCGAGCCATAGGAATGACCAGGGCATGTCCCAAGCTATAAGATGAGGGGCAAGGGCTAAGTGGAAATTCGGGGTAAAGACTCAGCCAACACCTACAGAACTTTCTCTGAATTTTCCTATTCCACTACGCTACAAACACACACACACACACACACACACACACACACACACACTTTGTCTAGGTCAAAGCTGACATTTTGCCATAAATATATCCCAGAAAATTCTGAGTAGGTGGTGGAGTTACCTTGGTAGCACCAAGCCTACAGCTTTTACGGACTTACATCACTTATAATCACTTAACACATGACATGACCTGGGTCTGCTTGTTCCTATCACCCCCAAGTCTCTTTCATTTATGTAAATTCAATTGAACCACTCAGTAAGAAAGGGAAATATAATGGAAGTAGTGCAAGAAAGTCTACTCACCATTCCCCTCAGAAAGTATTTGCAATAAAGTGAGTTTAAGGGGAGAGACAGGAATGTGCTGTTCTCAAAGTTAATCTCAGTTCCCATCTCTTGCTAAAGGCCTTATCCAGGCCATTCAATAAGGTTCTAGAACTGGGATGTGCTGGTAAATGTTTAACAACCATCTCTCCAGAGAAGTTTAATCTGCATCACTAACACTTTAACAAAACAATAAATCGAGCCCTGTGTTGTAAACTTTGCCGGTTTCCTAGGTGTGATTGCTCTCGATGAAAGTTTAATAATTGGCTCCAGAGCAAGTCCAATCAGGCTTCAGCACACCCCAGTTTCTCCTCTTCATCATACCCATGATCTATTCATTCTGCTAAAACTGGTAGAGCTCACAAGAGGAATACCTTTAGTTAGCATTCCCAGCATTCCCTGTCAACTGGACACAAAGCAGATGTACAATCACAAAGGAAGTCTCTGCTAATGTTTCAGCTGACTTCTTTTTGACCTCTTTTACCTCCCACTGAAGAAAGAAGAAATGGTTATTTGCTGGTATGATCACCCCCTAATATAATCACACTAATTTATGTAAAGTCCTTTCAAGGGCACTTTTTCCCCTTAATGATAAATTTTTCTGCCAGCTAAGTGTTTATCTGTTTTTATTTTCTTCTATTTGAGTAGAAGTCTTGCTTCTCACCTCTCTCCTGATCATTTAGCTGGGTATTGTGGTAGGTTTAGCTGAGTATTGTGAAAATTAAATTTACATTCAATTGTTCCCATAGCAACCATCTCAGATCCTGCTGTACTACGATAGCTACAGATGCCTTCTTTTAAAAGACTGGAACCCCTTTCTAGTGACAACTGTTTACAGATACTGCATTATACTTTATGAGCAAGTTGAAGAATTTTCTAGAATAATTTTACTGTGCACTATTTTTACATTATATGCTGACTTTAAAACCTAATCACCATGTAAGATGTAACTCCCCTTTACAGAATCTGACCCAGCTACTTTTTTGCAAGTACAGTACAGTTCCCTGTCTCCACCCTCTTACTCACACTGCATCTGACCATAACTGCATGACTATAAAACCCCAACCTAAACATACGCTGATTCCCTTACACAAAAAGGGATTCCTAACTCTTGACAATTCCTTGCAAATACTTAATCTTATAAACATATAGAGCATAGCATGATTTTCTTCACTGAATCACAGCACTAACTCTCCCATCCATAATTCATAAGTTAAACCTCCTTATGTGCACCCTGGGGTTAGATTCTCCCACAATGCCTAACACCAACATTTTTATACTTATAAAAAGACCTGAAAAACCATGGGTGGCTGAATCCTTGCATGGTCTCCAGGGCACAGCTATTCTATCCTTTAAAACTGGACATCACAACATCCTGGCAACAGCCACGCTCTTAGACAAGTATGTCCTAAAGCAACAGAATATTTGAAAACTCAGAATGTCTTCTGTGGAACCTCCTCAAATCCTCCCATTCAGTTCTTATCTAGACCATTATGTGCTGTTGTCGTTCTTGTTCAGTAGTTTCAGTCATGTACAATTCTTCATGAGCCATTTGGGGTTCTCTTGGCAAAGATATTAGAGTGGTTTACCATTTCCTTCTCCAGCTCATTTTTACAGATGAGGAAACTGAGGCCAACAGGGTTAAATGACTTGCCCTAGCTAGTAAGTTTCTGAGGCCCAGATTTGGACTCAGGTTTTCCTGACTCCAGGCCTAGCCCTTTATCCATTGAGCCACCCTTTCTAACCTTTCTGATCTACTCACCATGTAGTTACCAAATTGTATTATTGAAGCATAGATCTGACTATATCCATCCCCTACAATGGTTCCCTAAAATCTTCAACGGTTCCCTAACACTTCCAGGATGAAATATAAAATCTCTAGCCTTATATTTAAAGACCCCCGCAATCTAACTCCCACCCACTTTCCTATTGTTATTTCATATATTCCCCTCCATGGGCTCTATATTCCAGGCAAAGTGGTATACTAGCTATTCAATCTACATAATATTGTTATCTTCCACCTCTGTACCTTTACCCAGGATGTCCCTCAGACTTATAACACAGTCCCTTCTCACCTCTACCTTTTAAAATGTATAACTTCCTTCAGAGCACAGATCAAGTGTCACCTCCTATACAAGACCTTTCTGATCACCCAAGCTATTAAAGCTCTCCATCTCTTGAAATTAATTTGTATTACTTTACATATATTTTGTATTTAAAAGGAACTGTGGTATAATGAATGCAGAGCTGACTTCAGAGCCAAGAAGACTTGGGTTCAAACCCTGTCTCTAAAATAGACTGGCTGTATATCCCCTGGTAAGTCAGTTTCTTAAGTGCTCTAAGCCAATGACGTCAAACTCAAATAAAAACAAGGGCTACTAAATGACACATAAGAATTCCTGTAGACCGTGTATTGATCTATTTTTAATGACATCTTATTTTCCCTAATTACATGTTAAAATGATTTTTAACATTTGTTGTTTTCTAAAGTTTTGAATTCCAAATTCTATCCCTCCATCCTTCCC